CTGTCAGTGTGCCTTTGCTATTATACAGGGGGATTGTTATCCCCCTATGTAATAGCAATAACAATAAGTGTAAAAAAAATAAATATATATAAATAAAAAAAGTAAAAATAAAATAAAAGTCACATATAAAAAAAGTAAAAAAAACCCCCAAAATTGTTAAGTCCCCCACCCCCACGTGTATGCACATATAAGCGTAAATATGCGTCAGATGCGCCAGCGAGCGAAAACGACAATTGCGCTAAACATGCTACATATCGCCGCAAGTGTCGGAGTGAGAGCAATCATTTTAGGGACATCAATCACTGATAACACTAAACTGATGAGCAGTAAAAACTTTTACAAACGTCGCCTTTGGCCAATTTTGGGTATTGTAGTTTTTTGAGGTTCAGCGCGTACGCGCAATTTTAAGGCTTGACATGTTTGGTGTCTTTTTACCCGGCATGACCCCGTCTCTTATATTTTACCAACAAATTGGGTACTAATAAATGTTTTATAATTTAATATAGGGGAAACAGTTTTTTTTTAATTTTCTGTAATTTCTCCTTTAATATAGTAAAAAATAAAAACCGCAGTGGTGATTAAATACCACCAAAAGAAAGCTCTATCTGTCCCTAAAAAATTGTATAAAATTCATTTCAGTACAGCGTTGTATGACGGAATAAATGTCAGTCAAAGTACCGCAGCGCTGAATACTGAAAAATGGCCTGGACGGGAAAGGGGTTTAACACCGCGGACTTCAAGTGGTTAAACAGTTGACATCCACTCGCACATAATTTTTGGGTTTTTCAGATTTGGTTGAAGTGACCCTTTTAAATGTCTTTTTATAGTGACAACTGCTTATATACCTAATTGAAATATATTACAAATTATATAATAGGGATTAGAGTGCATGTCCTAAATGCTACCCACTTCTGTAGACATAAACCAAAAGGTTTTGTAACAAAGTATCAAAAAGAATAATAGGACATCCGATTTACATTTTCCTTGACTCCTTGATTTTCCTGGGTTTATTTCCAGAAAGTGATACACATTATACTTATTATTTTGACCACCTTGAAAGAATGTCAGATGCCAAAGTATATAGTCATGAAATATTATAATTTGGGAAGGATGGCATTAAAAAGTTTTTTAAGCGTTGCAACGTAAGCATACATTCGAATAGATATGACTTAATAATGAATAGCTTTTGAAACTTTTTTAAGCACAAAAAAACTTGTGGTGACATAATGCAGAATAATATTTTAAAATGACTTATGAACTACAATCCGAGAATCAGGGTGAATCCATTTTCTGTGGTTCACTTTATTAGTTGCTAATTTTTTAATAAATGTAGAATCAAACATTTACCAGGCAATATTACCTCAAAAATCCCACTGTCCCTAACTGCAGTGTATCCAGTATTTAGTTTTTGGTTTCTTTAACTATTGGATGAGTCATGAGCATGTCTGTAGACAGGAAACCTGTAATAGGAGACAAACCGGATTTTATTATTCAGTGTAACACATTTAAGCATAATTTACAAAACAAACCACGATGGAGACAGCATTTTATAATTACTGATTCACGTGTTTTACCTTTGATTTTGTTTCCAATTAATTAAATGAATATGATTGTAATATTTTATGCTTGTAGCAGTACACTTAATGGTCTGCCCACCCGAAACAAAGTTCTTTATTGTGGGTAGTCTAAAGTAGGAATAGAAAGCAAATTAAGTGAGGGAAGAAAGAAAGAAAGAAAGAAAGAAAGAGTAATGGTAAAGACCCAGGAAAGGGCACAGAGTAGCCAAAGTGAAGATGGGGAAAGGAAGAGGAGAAAGAGGAAGGAAAGAGAAGGGACAAAGTGAGCAACAACCCCAGGACAAGACATGTGCTTCGTTCCGAATCAAAATTCGGACGAAATTTCGGAAATTCGTAGATTCCGAATATCCGAAATATAACATACCCGGATCCGAAATTTCGGATTTGGAACGAATATCGTCCAAATCCTGTGCATGCACTGTTTAACATTTAAACGGATAAAAACGAATTAAGAGAAAGATTTTAATGTCCCTTTAATGGTAAAGACTAGAGCACAGCAACCAGAAATTACAAATGTGCCAATTCTGCTACACCATCTCAAGTGGAATTTTCGAGAATTCGTCCGAATCCAAATTCCGACACGAATTCCGAATCAGATCCGAATACGAATCCGATTCCCGAAACGAAACACATATAGGATTCCGCATCAAAAAGGTTCGTTCTCTTCCTGTTGAATCTTTAATTTGTTTGATATCATGTAGAATGCAACAGGAGGAGAGGAAACACCACAAGATAGGCAGAAATAGAGTTAGGTACTGTTCAAGATGGAATATGTATTAACCTTTAACAACCAATCAGAATGTATACATCATTATTCTTCCAACACTAGATTGCTAATCTTTGATTGGGTTTAGTACATCAGTGATACTTATTGCTGCATATCATTGTTCTCTGCTACTAAAGCCCATAATGTATATAAAAAAGAGTAAACCTTCCCCTTTTAATAGCACTGAATAGGATTACTTCAATGAAACTGTCTACAAATATCAAAGGTTCACTTTAACACATTTGTAAACCGGGCACTCTGTTCTAGCTTTCATCAGCAGCGACCTAAAATAAATATAAGCGACTAATTGGAATCTAGGCTGCATGCTGAGCTTGTGTCTTTGCATGCTTTCATACTCATATACTCCTTTTTTTTTTCTTCTTCTATGTACAGTACAAACAGGTGGAACAGTACATGTCATTTCACAAGCTACCGGCTGATATGCGTCAGAGGATCCATGATTATTATGAGCATCGCTATCAAGGAAAGATGTTTGATGAGGAGAGTATCCTTGGGGAGCTAAGTGAGCCTCTACGGGAGGTGAGATTGTAATACTTGTTCAGACATTTACTGCTCAGTTTGTCTTCAAGGCATTGCTGCTTAACAAAAAATTAAAGATGTAAAATAAGACATATCGGTGGAATAATACACAGGGCGTGGTGTGGTTATGCTAAACTGGGGATGTGCTTCACATGAATACTGACCATCTGCAAGCAGTGTGATGACAAACATCATGCCCAGTAAATTAATTTGTTTATAGCTGCCAATAAAGGAAAACACCACTACACACCGTTTCTGTGTAAAATGACCACAATGATATCCAGTAGCATTTCACATAGGGTTGCCACCTGACCCGTATTCACCTGGACAGTCCGGGTTTTGAGACCTGTATGTGCTGGGTCTGGGTTTCAGCTGGCACATATGGGACTCAAAACCCGGACTGTCCAGGTGAATCCAGGGCAGGTGGCAACCCTAATTTCACAAAAGCAACAAAGCACCTATTGTTTAATCAGGGTCTCCATCAAACACAGGGGGAATTAGAATAGACCCTACGTGTCAGCTCAGTCATAGGCTCTTTCACACAGGGGCCGTCCATTCTGTCCAGTTGTTTCCTCCATTGCAAGATGGAGGAAAACACTGAACTAACCAGGCCCCTGCTAGGTCTATGGGGAGTCAGACATGTGTCAGTATACATCAGGTTACCTCCGATCCATCACGATCGGGTCCACAAAAACAGAATTCAGTTCCCTTTTTTTTTCAGACCTAGAGTTGGAGGTATAGAGTTGGAGGTAATTGGATATAAACAGACGCACAACCATTTACATATCACTGCCCATAGTTACATTGGGCTTCCAAACAGATCCGCCTAAAAAACTGACAGGCAGACCTGTGTGAAAGGAGTCACAACTGAGCAGGTTTTAACCAGGTGAGAAATCTGCTCCTATGATGAAATCGGGCTTTCTCGGACCTTCCTAACTAAAGCTATGCTGTCCGTTAGCATCATGAAGTGAAAGGGTTGAACATAGACAGAAGCTTGCCAGTGTGCTGGTACAGACTGATTTCAGTAAACCCTCATTTTAAAACAAAATCCATTTTTTCCCTAAGCCTTAAATGGAAAGTAAAGAGGTTTTGTACACAATGTAATTATTACAGTCAGGACTAAACGAAGAACATTATTTAAAACCTTTGTTTTATTTTTATAGTCAGGTAAATTGAAATAAAGTATATTAAAGTGCAATTGAAGCCAAAAATATATTTTTGTTTTAGTTGTGGATAGAGTATAGCGGGATCAGATGTGTCCCCAATAAGGAGATTCACCCACTATATTTGTCCTGGTAACCATTATTACTACAAGTGAAACACCCCCCAAATTTTGAGTTTTCATCAGAACAGGGATATATGGATCATCTTCCAATGGGGACACTAGTCCTGGTGACCCTGCTGACCACCAGGGATTAGTGGGATTACTGGGACCAGCTCCCGATCACATGATTACTGTTATGGCCAATCACAAATTGTGATCACTAATAAAAGAAGCTACCCTGTATCACTTTGAGGAGAAAAAGATACATTTTATCTTTGCGGAGTCTCTGAAGAGAAGCATGTATAAAAAGTCTGTAAAGCAGATCTCTAGGATTTTCAAAAGTTAGACCTTGCAGTGCCCTGAACTGCAAGGGCTAACTGCTTGTTTTGGTTTAGGGAACGTAATAAAGAAGATACACTCACCTGATCCTCCAACCTGCGGAGGTAACTGCTTACCTCTCTCCCATTTCGCTCCGGCTGTGGAATGTCCCTCATCGTCCTCGAGTCTAATGCAAATGTGAACGGACCTTGCATAGACGTGATGACCTCCGCGAGGCTTAGACTGCTGGAGCTCAGGAAAGAAGAGGCTGTAGGGACTGGTCTAGCAGCCAGGCGGTACCGTGGATCAGTTGAGTGCTGTATATCGTTTTCATTTTAGTCCCTAGACCAAAATGAGCACCTAACTCTTGCAGTTCATCTTTAATAATAAAAAATATAATGATAAAAAAGTTAGATCATGGCTTGATCTAGGTTAGTCTTAGCGTTATGGTCTGTGTCAGTGTTTTAAGTGGGATAGAAAAGCAGAATGCGCACTATTATTTCTGGACCCCACTACAGGAACACAGCAAATTATCCTCATGTATGCGCTATCCCCTGGCATGTCACGAGTAGTAGACATTTTTTACAGTGTTACTAAAAAGTAGCAAACTTGGGTTCAATTATTAAGATTTGTTTATACTTCATCATTCAGGGTCTGTTCACACCATCCAATGCGTGCATGGCGCATTTAACTTTTTTTTGCAATTGCGCCACATTGGAATGCATGACATTGCAGTACCACGTGTTGCAGTGCAGGCGATCGCACTGCGGGTGGGAGGCTTGTCTGCGGCGCCATTAAAATCAATGGCACCACCATGCGCCCTCCCGGACCAGAACACGGGGAGGCTGTGTTCAGTGCTTTAATGGCACGGAACCAAGCCATGAACGCATTGGATGGTTTGAATAGGCCCTAAGGGTTTTTTAAAAATCCATTAGAGTCAAGCAAATGGTACTTAGCAATGTCCTGCATGTCTTAATATACATGTCATAACTCTCATTATCATGGTGTCCAGTGACAAGGTGATGCAGCCACTGTATACCTTCACAAATTCCCAGATTATGTAGCCAGAGAACTGGAACTTCATGAGAGCACAGGAATAACACAGCACATGGAATAATAAAATAAGTTGTCATGGTGATTAATAGTGTAGGAATTCTTTATGATGAAATGTACAGTGTGATAATTAGAAATTGGGTTAATTAAAAGGACATCAGTGTGTACTAATAGGTGTAGAGGACACTGGGAACACAATCATTTCTGCCATGCAAAGTACAATACAAATTCAAATCTAAGGGGGTTATACACAAAGCAGTCAAGGATATTGCTGTAGCTTCGGGTGATCCTTCGGCTTACTTCAGCCACCGGAGCCCTTCAGTTCAGCTCACTGAAGGGCTGCTGTATGGGCTATGCACAATAGCCAGCAGAGCAGCCGAACAGCTCAGCCAAACCGGACGCATATGCTTCGGCTCGGCTGAGCCAAAGTCACAGCCACAGCGGGGAGAATGGTCTGCTGCAGCAGACTATTCTCCCCGGAAAAAAAAAGCCTATACAGAGCCTGGTAGGAAAGTTAGGAGGAACCCCCCGAGTTAAAAATAAAAAAAGTTTGTGTGATTCCCCCCAGAAGCCATACCAGGCCATTTAGGTTTGGTAGGGATTTTAAGGGGGTACCCCACCCCCAAAAATGGGGACCACTGGAAAGGCACCATCCCAGTACTGAGGGCATGTGGCCTGGTAAGGCTCAGGGAGAGGGGAGGTGCTCGATCATCCCCCCCTTTCGTCGTTCCTGCCATGCCTGTGCTCAGATTAAGAGTCTGGTTGGGAATTTTAGGGGGACCCCACGTCCCCCCCCCCCCACATTTTTTGGGGGTGGGGTTCCTCCTTAAAATTCCTACCAGACCTAAAGGGCCTGGTTTGATTTTTGGGGGGCCTGTGAATTCTGCTTTCTGCTTGCTACCTCCTGAGGTAACGAGCAGAATAACCGAACCGAATGTCGCTTGGCGTCATTCGGCTATTCACTCATTGCCGTTCGGCAGCTATGAGAATAGGGGCGAACGGCAATGAGTGAACTGCCGTGCGTTCAACTCAGCCGATCAAAATGTTGGATTGGCTGAGTTGAATGCGTTCTTTACTTTGGCTCAGCCAAACATGCTGAGCATGTTCTGCTGAACTCAAGGGAGCCGAAGACAGCCCTTCACTGGAGATGGCAGCAATTGAGTAAACCTGTTGCTTTTCCATGGATGAGCAAAGCACAGGTTCACGTCGATGAGAGATGTCTCAGGTGGCTCAAATGGCATATGACCCAGAAAGAATCAAAACTGAGGCCCTTAACCGTAAAGGTCAAAATTGCTATTTTTTTGATTGTTTATGAAAAATAAAAATCATTTTGAATACTTTCCTCTATTTATTTTATGCAATTTCTGAGCTCACATTGTTTTGCTCCTTACTCTGGCATGACCTTTTAGTTTTGGACTTATACACAGTAAATTAGAAACATATTTTGGCGTATGACAGAAAAAATTGCAAATCTTTTTTCAGCAGTTAATTTCAGTAGGCGGAAAAAAGAAGGTTGTTCCCTGGAGTTCTGATATACCTTGAATATCCCCTTTAATATTTAATTAATCATTTAAATAGGTCATCAAGGTCATATAACCAAAAGTAGTCAGAACAAAAAGGAGGGTAACAGTGTTTTACCAGAGAAAACACTGTAAAAGAAGGTTATTAAATTGACCGAATTACCCTCCTTTTTGTTCTAATTTCAGTAGGACCCTAGAGAATATGCACAACATATTTATGCTAGCATAAAGAAGGTTTGTGCTTACTTTGCATATCCGATTTTGCCTTTATTACAGGCTTACATCTGTGCAATCACGCTAAGCTTATGTTACATGCAAAAGACACACAAAGGGCTTATAGGATATAAGAACTAATGTAACTTGCCAACCACATCCTACATAAAGATAGAAGGGAGACCCTTAGTGGTCATACGTGATACTAACATATTTCTTGCTTACAAGCAGATCAATTTTAGGTAAGAGCAGTGAAATTGGGACCAGTACAACTACAGTACATTTTTACTGGTTGCTTTGGGTTTATTTAATTTGCACTCTTCCTTATTGTATGAGCACATTTGCCATATTTAATGCTCACAAAATCTTCCTAAGGCCATGTTTAGATGGGCAGGCGCAGCATACTTTCAGGTGCACTCAGCTGGCATGTGAGCTGCCTATGACCTTTTTCTAGCTGTTTTTACCTTTCCATTGACTTGTATGGGTAGGAAAGCTTTTTACAGACAATTGAATTTAAAGGAGAACTATGGGGTTAGGGATTTTCCCCATAGTTCTCCTTAGGGTAACAGGAGGACACAAACTAGCGTCCTCCCGTCACCCTAAGCTCAGTATACCGCAAGCTACTGCTCACGGTATACTGAGACGCCGCAGCTGAAGCGGATCCTGACAATTATGTCTGGATCCACCCAGCTGCGTGAGTGACAGCTGGCTCTGCCTATCTAGAGGCAGAGACAGCTGTACCCTCCCCCGTCCGTTCCTCCATTCAGCGCTGGCGGATAGGAGCGGGGAGGGGGGAATGCAGCCCCTCCCCTGTCACAGCAGAGAGCCGTGACAGGATCGAGAAGTGAGCGAACGCCGTTATGTGTTAGCTCACTTCCCGATCTACTGAGCCGACCTGAGGCAGTCTCATTGTCACAGGTCGGCTAGAACTATGAGGATGAGTGAAAAGCACTCACCTCATAGTTCTCCTTTAACATTACATTTGAGGTTAAACAATCTTTCTAGAAAAAAACCCAAAAACAAAACTATATAAAGAATATATTGCTATAAGCTAAATAAGACATTCTTACACTATTGCTTTTACTGAGGGTGGCCAGAAGCCAGGAGTCAGGTGTCCAATGTGCCTCCAAATGTACAGCTGCACCCTTTCCACTGTTGTCAGCAGAGCATTTTGGAGTGCCTGTGACATTACTGAATTGTAATGACTAAGGTTTGTGTCTATTCTGTGCTCTTAGTTCAGAAATTAGAAAATAAACAGTGGGTTCTTAAAACTGTTGTATTATTGATGTTCTATTTGGTAAAGCATGTTATATAATTATTCTGGATAGATAAATACTGTATAGCTGATCTTTTTGTATTCTCCTTCTTCTACAGGAGATCATCAACTTCAACTGTCGCAAACTAGTGGCTACCATGCCATTATTTGCCAATGCGGACCCCAACTTTGTGACATCAATGCTTACAAAGCTAAGATTTGAGGTTTTTCAGCCAGGAGACTACCTTATCAGAGAGGGAACAGTTGGCAAGAAAATGTTCTTTATACAGCATGGGGTTGTTAGTATATTAAGCAAAGGCAGTAAAGAGACCAAACTTGCTGATGGATCTTACTTTGGAGGTGAGTGTCTCTTGTCTAAAAAATTGTACCTATGTGCTAAGTCTACTGTGGACTTTTCTTCAGTGTGAATACCAATGGTCATGTGGTTATATTCGTCATCGCAGAGATAAAGACCAGCCTGGGGTGGTGAGCAAGCCCCAGGAAGTTATTGTGTCACTGTCCCCTATGGCCTTGGTTCTCAACTGGTGGGTCGTGACCCAAAAGTCGGTCGCTCCCCCGTGTTCAGTGGGTCACTGAATGCCTTCCACTTTTCTAGGTAAGGCTCCTCAGCCTCCCCCTAGCACAGCACTGTCAGTTCTGACAACAAGCAGCCATTCAAAATATTCTGCCTGGTGCCGAGTGTCATCTTGACATAGAGTGGGCTGGGGGGATGGCCGCAAGGGAGCTCCATCCATACATGCATTGCTTACAGCTCCCTCACTTGTCCTGTAGAGGTGCCTGGACTGGAGTGACGTCACATTCTGGCTCCCGACACCTCTACAGGGCATGCTAGGGAGCTGTACCTACAATGCACATATAGATGGAGCCACAGCACAGCAGCCCACACTGGACTCCAGGCTGGGGATCCACTCCAGTTCTTGTAAGATAGGGAGACTGGGTGGATTTAAAAAAATTAAAATTTTGGAGCTTGTATGTGTGTGTGAGAATATCTGAGTGTGAGATTGTGTCTGTATGTCAGTGTTTTTGAGGGCCTGTTCCCGTGCGATTAACTCACCTTACCATGCAATTGCTCCTACTGCGCATTCTGGTGTGGGAGGTGTGTTGTATTGCCATTCATTTGAATGGCACACCAACGGCATCTCCCACCCACAATTCGATCGCCCGCACCGTAACGCACGGTAAAGCAATGCTGTGCGTTCCAGTGCGGAGCAACTTGGGTCATGACTTCATGACCAAGGACAAATGTGGGTCCTGAGGTTACACAGGTTGGGAACCACTGCCCTAGGGTACGTCTCCTGGAGTATTCTAACATCCAACTCAAGTCATCTAGGTCAGGGCACCCAATTTAGGGATGTGATGGTCTAGGGAAGGTGGCATTTACTGTCAGATGGAATAGTCTCCAATGTACTGGAGTTTCAAGCAGCCTGGCTGTATAACAGCTATCTTGACTGCTGAATCACAAGATTACATTGCTACAGATGAACAAACGAGTGGTGGTGGCTTACATTTTAGAACCAAGTGGGGTCTCAAAGCAGGAAACTATTCAGGGAAGTGAAACCTGTTCTTTTTCGGGCAGAGAAAAATCTCTCTTATCTCAAAGCAAATTACATTCCAGCTTTTAGACTGTCTGGGCTGACTACCTTTCAAGAAGCTTTCTCAGCAACTAGTGGTCCTTGAATCCACAAATCTTCACCTCAACTTGCCCTAAGTGGTGTTATCCCCAGATAGATCTATTTGCCTCTCCAAACAACACCCAGCTCCCTGTGTTCTACTCCAAGTATGGGTGTCAGGGGGCAGTAGGGATAGACGATTTTAGTTTGAGTATGCGTATTGCCCCACACCACTCATGCCTAGCAGGGAATTGGTGGGAGATTATTCTGTATTGGGCTCAAACACCTTGGTTCACGTTTCTGATGCAATTGTCAACCTGCCTCTAGAGACACATCTTCTGACCCATGGTGACTTTCAGCATCCCAATCCAGGGACTCTGTATGTGAAGGCATGGAGGTTGAACAGCAAAGGTCTGGAAGACCTAGGCTGCTCACCCTAGGTGATTGAAAATTTGCTTTGCACAAGAAGAGTTTAAGAAATTCGACTTTCTATAAAGTTTGCAAAGAATTCCTAGTAATGCTCTTTCACCTGAAGTTTTCAACATCCTGCAGTTCTTGCAGTCTGTCCTAGACCTAGGTCTGGGCATAAATACTCAAAGCCCAAGTTTCCGGCACTTACTGATGTTAGAAAGGTTTTAAACCCTTTAGTAGAGAGATTCCTTGAAGCAGTCGGCAGAGAAAGAGAATCTTTATCCTAAGTGGGTTCTCTCCCTAGTGTTGAATTTCCTCTCCTCTATTCCATTTGACTCTTCATATCAGTGCTCGTTGGAGAACAATACTTTAAAAAGCTGCCTTTTTGGTAGCTATTGCCTTGATTCGAAGAGTCTTCAAGAGATTCAAGCTCTGATCCCTACATGATACTCTATCCTGATAGGGTTTTTATAACAATACATGAGTTTTTCTTAAAGTGCCATCTATGTTCCACTAAAATCTGTAGTGGGCATTGACAGCATTTCAGGATGAACAAGATTCTATAAAGCTTCATGAATTAGAGGCCAGAACTTTAAAGTGTTACCTTTCTATAACCCACTCCTTTCGCTAAAGAGAATATGCTATTCATCATACCAGCTGGGGCAAGAAGAGTTCAAGCAGATGCATCCCAAACAATTGTGAGTTGGATTGGGTGGGTAATTCAGAGACCAATCAGGCTAGTGGCAAGTGGATTCCCCAAACGGTGACAGCTATAGGAGTATATCGGCATGCTGGGCATTATTTGGGATTGTCTTCTGAGGTAATTTGCTGGTTAGCCAGCTGTTCCTTCATCTTTTACTATAGTGTAGATTGGGCCAATTTCCCTCCCATGTAGTGAATTATTGAGCATTTTATGCTGCCGTGTATGCATCAGGAAACCAGAACATTGAATACTCTCCTTACATAATTTTCCTTTCCTCGTGCCTAACCATGGTAGCATCATTTCCTCTCCCATCTTGTTCTAGTTATGAGAATGCAGTAGAGGACTGCTGTTCAGACTTTTAGTCAAATAAAGTTTTATTCTTTTCAAACAAGGGAAAAAATATATAACATGAGCTTAGAGCGATAAAAAGCATATGATCATCTGCCACTGTGTTGTGCCGTGTGGCTCCGTATACCTCATTAAACGGGGAGGGGAGGGGGGGGAGACAGATCAGTGGACGCGAGACAAGACAAAACAAGGACAACACAATACAAATACAGACAATGTTATGGTACAAGGACGACCAGATTGCTAGTGAAGGCGGGTGGAGACTTCAAGTAGGTTCCTGAGGCATAGCCCGGCCTACGACATACGATGTCAACAGAGAGTAGTGATAAAACTAGTCCCGACATGCCAGGGGACGAAAGTCTCCGAACTCCAACAGGTAAGTCACCGAGAAGGAGAGAGAGAAATCACTTCACCGAGGTTGCTGAGGATGCGGATCTGCGAGGAGACTTCGTCTGCCAATGTTCACGGACCGGAACATCAGGAAAGCTCGTGGTATATGGCCAATATGCCATGCGCCGGCCACGCCCCCCCTGTTCAGACTTTTATAGAGAGTTATAATGGGCATGTGGGTTGGAATGGGAGCGGAGCACCAATTATGTGTATGCTGCCATAGATAGGTACCAGGAAAGAAAAATTATGGAAGGTAAGTATTTCATTTTCCAGTATCTTGGAATCTCAATCCATATCAGGACAATAGGAATCTAATTGCTTTTATTCAATAGTAATTGTAGACATTTTTAGTCGTTTTCACTGGCAATACTTTATATATAGCAGGAGTTGAGTTGAATAACTGAAATCTTCTGTCTACCCCTACCAGAGATTTGTTTGCTGACACGAGGACGAAGAACTGCAAGTGTCAGAGCAGACACTTATTGTCGACTGTACTCTCTAAGTGTGGACCATTTCAATGAGGTTCTAGAGGAGTACCCAATGATGAGACGGGCATTTGAGAGTGTGGCACTAGACCGTTTGGACCGAATTGGTAAGTAGGAACCGAGTACTTTTTCTGGAAAAATTCAATGTCATATATACCATTGTTTAATATGGTCACCACCCCTTGTATGCTCTTCAAGGAACATCCTACATACTTCAATGGATATATCCAACGTCTTTGTGTGACATGAGAAACAATTGGGGTTTTTTTTTAAACTATATTTTTTATTTTAAACTATATTTTTTATTGCAAGAGGTACAAAGATGCAGTTACAATTAGCAACAGAACAACAAGTGAAGAAAGAATGGAAGGAAAGCAGAGGGAAAGAGGAAAGTGAAGATCCGCAAGGATAAAAGAAAAGTAAACCTAGAAAGAGCGAGGAGGTGAAGGTGGCAAAGACAGTAAAAAAGCCTGCAGCTGGGCATAGAACACACACAAAAGCAAAACAGCCCTGTGAAAAATAGAAAAAGGGGTAAACGTGCACAATTTAAGGAGACATAGCTGAGATACTCTCTTGGGTTGTCTGAAACTCTAACCAATAATACCACATTTTTCTAAATCTCTTTTCCCTGTGGTCGAGTGTAGCAGAGAGATCCACCATCAAGATGGTCTTGTTAATGCAGGATAAAAACAAATGGGTTTGAAGATCCCTTGACCCATACTGTTTTTTATTTTCTCAGTAATTATAGTAGACTCCAGTCTATGATGATCGCCTCTCTGTCCTCCTAAAGCTTTGGGTGTGCTTTGGTAAGAAATTATCACCCACTGGCAAATATATCTCCCTGAGTCTCCAGTGATGAGACTTCCCTACAGTACTTTACTTCTTTGCCTCCACCACCAGGACCATACTGATGATGCCACTCTGTCACAGCTGAACTACACCACTTTTTTTTTATTATGGATGGAGAATCAAGGATTGAAGAGTGATGCCATCAATGATTTTGTAATGACCTCAGCTAAGGCAATGCCATGGGCACACATACACAGGCAACCAGCTTGGAGGCACGGAGCCTGTTAACAGTGCAGGCTCAGCATCACTGCGTAAAAGGCTCTGATCAGCCACTGCACCTATCACACAGGCAGGAGCAGTGGCTGGCAGCAATGTGCTCAGTGACTCTGAGCCTACACTATAATGGGTTCTGTGTCACTAAAGAGGCTCACCTGCTGTACCAGCCTGTGTGACAGGTGCAGTGGCCAGGCAGGAAGTCAGCATTAATGAGCTGTACTGAGGATGGGGTGTCCAGTACGGTGTAAGAAAACTATTGGGGTGGTGATTTCTAGTGGGGATGTCTAAAAACTGGAGTCTCAATCTGAGAGAGAAATAAGAAACCAGAAAAACCTGAAATGTAAGCTTTAGGTGGAGTCGTCTGCAGAAAGTTTTCTCTTTTTTTGTTTAATAAAAATTTATTTTTGTCAGGAATAATCAGTAAAGGGAGCTGTATTTCCTTACTGATCACTGCTGTGTTGATGGATACAAACATACTTATACCATTGTGCATCTCTTTGACTTAAAATCAGTTTGTCCAATATTTCCAAAATCTGCCATCCTAATCATTTATATTACAAAAGGCCCTATTAGGAGCTTTGTACAAATGAGCCCACTACAACTTGCACAGAACAGAGAAGCTGGATACAAGCCAATCGACTATGCTTTATCTAATTCAGCTCCTACAGCCTCTTTATTACCTCAGTACTAAATGAAAGGTCAGAGCAGAGATTACTTCTCTGCCTCATCATTATTTCTTTCTTTCCTTTTACTTGCCTGGTTGAAACAGCCCAAAATAGATTAATCCGCAAACCTACATTATAACACATAGGGGTCTATTCACTAAGCTGCCGAGGGCAGCCGAGTGAACCAACCCCAAGTGAAGTGAGCCGAACACTGTTCGGCTATTCACTTCAGGCTGGTACGGCTGATTTCAGCCGTACATCGGCTTGCTTCACATGGCTTCGGGTCGGAGAGGTCAGTGGTGTAACGCACAGATGTCAGAGTTAACCCTCATTAAACCTTCTCTGGTCCTTTTCCTGGTGGTGCTGGTAGGAGGGGTACCAGGGATCCCAACCTGAAAGAAGCAATTTCAGGGAGGTGCCCTTCTCATTTCAGGGAGGTGCCCTCTGCCCCAATTACTTTGTACCTGCACAGAACCATACTGCGCATGTGCGTCTCGGTGTGCCTAAAAATTTTTTTTTTAAATGCTGGCAGGTAGAAAGAAGAATTTGACCAGAAGAGACCTACGGAATCCCCTCCTCATTAAAAACCTACATGTCAGTTTTTTTTTGTTTTTTTTTTAAATTCTCCTTTCAGTAAAACATACAAGTTGTTCCCGTCCCCAGCCTGTGGTCAGACAGCGAAGGAGAAGCAGCTGTCTGACATTCTACTCTCTCCATCAACGTCCTGCCGGCGGCGAACAACACGCCGATGGATTTCCACTTGCCCCCTCGCAGTTTTCACTCGCCAATTGCGAGGGGGCGAGTGGAAATTTTGAGCCCTGGCCAATAGTAATGTAGCAATGCATTTCAATGGGAAACTTTTTTTTTTTTTTTCTATTCTGACATCGCGTGTCAGAATAAAGAAAAAAAAGAAAAAGCAGTGTTTCTTTCCTTGGCGGCCGGGAGCAGGAGACTCCCGGGCCGCCAGGGAGAGTTAGGCTGTTTGGAGATCAGTGTCACTGGTTAGCAGGTAACCAGGGACGCTGATCTCTGTGCAAGTGGCCGGAGCCAGCCATGAGATCACGGCTGGCTCCGCTCAGCTGTCAGAAGCAGGCTGTCGGCCGGCCAATGGCCGGCCGCTTGGCCAGCTTTGGCTTTTAGCACGGCTCAGCGTCATGAATTCTAGGGAAGATAGGAGAGTCCTAAAAGACCTGGGGTACATCAGACACGTAGGGGCTGATTTATAAATCATCCTGCACACGGCACTACTGCTACTAGATGGAGCCAAGGGGTATGGGGAATTCCTATGCTTCTCAGAGCCATCTAGTGGCTGCAGTGCCATGCAAACAACATTGCCCCAGCTATATGCTGAAAACGAAAACTGCCCTAAATGGTACAGTGATATCACAGGCCAGGAAAAAACACTATTGTTTACTCCTACAACTGCAAGTAGGCAATCTGTAGGCTTTTTTTTTTTTTTTTTAAAGTTTCCAAGGCCCACTTTTACTTACCTTTACTTACGCTCCAGCATTCCAGGCTTCAGCACCTTCCCATGTCTCACCCTAATTAAATGGATGCTGCTTATTTGCTTGTCCTGATGGTCCTGCACACATCACAGTGCAGGCACAATAATGTGGATGTATGGTGGCAGAAACAAGAAACGTTGGCTGCATACAGAGCGGCTTCAGCTGTCAGTCACCTTTTACTGAAACGGGTGCAATAGTAAGGTAAGTAGAAGTATAAGGTAAATATAAAACACAACAAAAGCTGAGCAAAGATTGTTTGTCATACTTGAAATGATGGCAACAATTACTGCAAAATGATATTTGGGGGAACTTTGTAGATTCAGTGCAGGTGCTCTGGGTGCCAGGGCAACACCCTTGGAAAAGTCTATATAAAATGATCATAAATTGCAATCATCACCACCCGCTGTGTCACCCTACCAGTCTAGTAAAATATGAAGATGCCCATACACCCTTCAATTTTCCTACAGAAATCGAACACAAATGTGGTTTCGAATGATAATCGATCGGTTGATGGAAACCCAACAATTTTATATACTGTACTCCCGGCCGGATTTCCTCGAACGATCAGGCTGGAAAACCTTTTTTGAATCGTATGAAAATCGATGGATTAGTGGTGTTTTTGTACGAAAACAATTGCGGCAAGAACACTGCACATGCGCAAATGAAAATCCGTTCTGTCGATCGACAAAATTCAGAGAGTTAGTATTGCTAATGAACGATTATCGAAATCGACATTGGTCTGTGCTTGATGGGCTATTGGAGTTAGAATCAAAAGAGGGTTCTTGGCAGCAACAAAAATTCCCAATCGAAAATCTATAGGTGTATGGCCAGCTTTAGGCTTAGTGCTCATTCACAGTTTCCTTCATGGCATCTTGAATTTTTTGGCATTATATACTAATGTATATACCGGTTTGTGCTAGGCTTCATAGTTACATAGTATTTGGGGTTGAATAAAGACATACGTCCATCAAGTCCAACCCATACAGGTCCCCGCATCATCTCATCCTTAGGGATACTGGTATCCCTGGATATTATGGTCCCTCAAGAAATTGTCCAAACGTTTCTTGAACAAATCTACACTCTTGGCTGAAATCACTGCCGATGGCAGTGAGTTCCAGACCTTAACCGCTCTTACTGTAAAGAACCCCCTTCGCCCATTGTGCTGGAATTTTTTCTCCACCAACTTTAGGTGGTGGACTCTAGTCTTTGTAATGGAGTTAATCTTAAAGAGTTTGTTGCCAATGTTGCTGTCACCATTGAACATCTTGTACATGAAAATCATATCCCCCCCTTAATCTCCTTAATTCCAGCGTAAACATGTTTAAGGTCAGAAGCCTTGTCTCATAGCTCTGGTCCTCCATTCCCCTAATTAGTTTTGTTGCCCTCCGCTGGACTCTCTCCAGTTCAAGGACATCCCTTCTCAGTACCGGCGACCAAAACTGGACCGCGTACTCCAGATGTGGCCGAACCAACGATCTATATAGAGGCACAATTATAGACTTGTCCCTGCAATACATCCCCTTCTTAATACAGGACAAGACCCTGCTAGCTTTGTTTACCGCAGCTTGGCACTGCAAGCTACCATTCAGTTTGTGGTCTACAATGACCCCCAAATCTTTTTCTATTTCTGACTTCCCTAGCGGCATACCCATAATTGTATAACCTATTTGTTTATTTTTATGTCCAAAGTGCATTGCTTTGCATTTATTGACATTAAACCTGATCTGCCATAGTACTGCCCACTCCCCTATTTTATCCAGGTCCCCCTGCAATGTTATATTGTCACGATCCGTTTCTAGTACCCTCCCTATTTTTGTATCGTCTGCAAACACGGAAACATGGCTATTTATTCCCTCCCCGATGTCATTAATG